TATACACCCCCCAATAAGGGCCACCCTAATGTAACGTGTAACAAGGACACCTTAAAATAAAGTGTTGCCAGACTTTTTAATTAAGAGTGCCATGACAATGTTGTTTTTCCCCTTTGGATATTAAGCATAACCTCTCTAATTATAACTGTTTCCAGCATTGCAGAATTCTCTGCTCATTAATATGTTTGAACCACAGGGTCCAAAACAACACTGGACTCCAAGGTTTTTTTGGGGTTTTTTTTTTGTATGTAGAAAATAAAACATGCTGACATTCAGTTTAGAGTGAGAAAATGACAGAATTGTCATTTCTGTGTGAACTCTTTAATCTAAATGCATGACATTTAATATTTAATAACAGGCAGGCATGTGATGAGAGACATAAAACAGCTAGCCCTTCTGACCAGGTTACTGACCAGTTTACCTAAATTCCTAATCCAAAATATCCTATTCAGAAATATAAAACTGGTATCAGTTTAGAGACAAAAAAAGCAATATTAACTTCCATTTCAAACGGAGTCACAGGAACGTAGCCACTGTCCACACACTTCCTTCTGATAAGGTATAAATAGGAGCAGACTCAGGAAGTCCAGTCAGCCTCAGCTCTGAATGTGTGTTCATATCAAAGTGAGTCGGCTGTTCCTTTACAGAACAACCTCCTTTGCTTTCTATAGCAATAAGGTGTTTTAGATTGTTACTCATGTAGCAATCAATAAAGCCATTTCTCATTCAGCATTACAAAATATTTCAAATACTATACTAAGCTACATAAAATTTGCAAAGAAAATATGTGTGTTGTTTGGTGCTCGCCCATAATTTGCTGTCATGTAGGTGTTATAATGAGTGTGTTTTGGTGAATTGTGAGGTGTAGAGTGCAAGTAAAAAGAGCCCACTTGATATTAATTTCTCACCTCATGTAAACCCATGGGCATATGACAGTTTAAGGAAAGCAATGCATTAAAGACTGATGTTACATTTAAATGTGAAATGTGAGCGTATAATCTCTGACCTTTCACCTTTCTCAGTGCAAAAGCTGAGTGCCCCAGAAAAGCATTTTCTTGTCCTGATGTGTTCTGACGCTCCATATGTTGACTGGAGCCATGGGCTGGAAAGGGTGATCGCCTCTAGACGAGGAAAGCAGGTGTCTTACCTGGACCAAAGCAAACACCAGCTGCTTGAAGACGGCCAGCTCTCCATTAAAGACCTGCAGGAGTCAGACGCAGGAGAATATTACTGCAACCATCAGCTAGTGGCAGATATCACTGTGCTCAAAGGTATTTTAGTTGTGGCATGTCTCTCCAAACTCACGCTATTTTCTTTCTTCGGTGGGAATACAAAAGACTCAATTTTGAAAGCATACTGTGACCACAGGTTGCCAAGACCCAAAAAGGACAAAAAAGCACCATGAGCATAGCATAAAAATTGTTAATGTCAATCATGCAATATATTTCAAGTCAGCAGAAGACAAACACTTCAGCGTCATTAACACTTAATCATTCTTTCTTTCTTTCTTTCCAGGCCATAACTTTACAGTTCCTGAGGGCACAACTGTTTATCTGCCATGTAAGACGTCTGATAAAATGAAGCAGAGATGGGCATTCAAACGCACTCCTCAGTCCAGAAAAGAGTTCATCTCCACGCTTTATAAAAACAGCACCATAAAGAAAGAGAGAGTTGATCCAACATTAAGATTCACTCATACCATCAACCACCTGATTATCTCCAATCTCCAGCTGCAGGACTCTGGGCTTTATCTGTGCAACAACAGAGAGATGGCTTTCCTTACGGTGACCACAGGTAGCACTGAGCACAATATTAACACTGAATATACTGTACAATCATTTCTATTATGATAGGAATTTCCCTAGGGTATTGATACCATGCAATAAAAAGCTGTCCCCAAAACATACAGCGGGTAAAATAAGTATTGAACACGTCACCATTTTTTTTCTCAGTAAATATGTTTCTAAAGGTGTTGTTGACATGAAATTTTCACCAGATGTCAATAACAACCCAAGTAATCCATACATACAAAGAAAACAAAACAAATAAGTTCAGAAATTAAGTTATGTGTAATAAAACGGAATGACACAAGGAAAAAGTATTGAACGCATGAAGAAAGGGAGGTGCAAAAAGGCATGGAAAGCCAAGACACCAGCTGAAATCTATCAGTAATTAGAAAGCATTCCTGCCCTCGTCAGTGGAAATGAATATTAGCTGCTTCCCAACACCTACAGTACCAGGATGATGAAGATGAAACAAGGGTGGACATTTCAGCAAGGCAATGATCCCAAACACAGCCAAGGAATTGGTTTCAGAGAAAGAAAATAAAGCTGCTAGAATAACTTGAATCCAATAGAAAATAAGAACTAAAGGTCAGAGTTCACAGAAGAGGCCCACAGAACCTGACAGGAGGCGTCTTGAAGCTGTCATTACCAACAAAGGCTTTTGTAAAAAATATGAAATAAATTTCAGTAGTTCAATACTTTTTCCCTGTGTCATTCCAATTTATTATACATAACTTAATTTCTGAAATTATTTGTTTTGTTTTATTTGTATGAAAGGATTACTTGGGTTATTAGCGACATCTGGTGAAAATTGAATGTCAACAGCACCTTTAGAAATATATTAACTGAGAAAAATGGTGGATGTGTTAAATACTTATTTCACCCGCTGTATTTGAACACTTAAGTTAACTAAAATGTCTGAATCCCATTGCATTATTAGTGGAATCGGATTAAACAAATGCTGCATGCAATATCTTGGGATAATAGGGAGGAAATAGCAATATGAGTGGAAGTAGGAGGGTGCTGAGCCTGTGGCTGTTCTATACGCAAGCATCAATGTCTTGATGCAAACTGCAACCGGTAGCCAAGGGTCCAAGAACTGATCCCTGAGGAACAGTGTTGGGTGTAACGTGTTACTGTAATTAAATTACTTATCCACTGAAAAAGTAAAGTAAGGGATTACTGCTAATTTTTATGTAATTTAATTGGTTACTTCTAAAGTGCTTGCGTTACATACTGTAAATAATTTCAGCTGTTCTAAAATCAATATTGAACTTGAAATCTAAATTATTCGTCTAAAAGGTAAAATTGAATGCAGCGTCTTTAACACTCTTCGCGTTGTCGCATTTACTTGCAGTATTTTCTGATAGAGAAAATAACCTAATATACTCAGATACAGTAGATAAGACTAAAATCAATCGAATCTAAAAAGGGTATACTTTGATATGTGTAAACTGACAATAACAAAAAAACATTGTGCTTTTGTAAAATAAAGAAAACAAACAGGGTGCGCTTTCAGTCGTCTCAGTTTCCGTGAACTTCTATCTGCAACGCGTCACAGAAATGAACCGAAACTCAGCGAATGCTTGACACACACAGCCATGAGAAATATAGAAAGCTTGAGGTGTCTACTTTTAAATGAACCAACTCAAATTGAAAAAGAATATTCTCTGATTATGTAATATGTTTAAAAAACTAAAGCGAGGAAGTCTTTCCCGTCTCTGAGCTCAATATCTGCAGTCACACCTGTGCGCAAACATCTTCCTCACCTACAAAAATAGATTAAAATAATAATAATAATAATAATAATAATAATAGATTAATCTACTTTTCATCGTTTTTGGAAGAAGACCTGCTTTGAGAAATAAGCCGGAATTTACCTCAGAAGAACAGTGTGATCTGACGCGGCTTTCTTTCTTTCTTCAGCGGAGGATACAATTTCTGTATTTTTGTTTTGGGGGGATATAATATTGTCCAGTCCTGTCATGTTTACTGCCATTCCGTGTGTGGGGATGACTTCTGATGCAGCAGCTTGTTTTACATATGTTTAGCAGCATGCGGATATATTGGCTTGTATTGTTCATTTCGTGCGCATCCTGCTTTAGGGGTGATTTCATGTATGTTAAATGTGCAGCAGCAGCATGTCTGTGGATGTTTTGGCAGTAGCAAGTCTCTGTACGGCAGCAGAAGCAGTGTAGCAGATCTGTTCTGTTAACACATTGACATCATCATATCGATAGCCATGCCAATCTATTCTGAGAGTTGGTACCTTACAACTCTCGACTTTTCTGAACCGTTTTCCAGTGTCACTGAATCAGCTGTGTTTTGGTGATTTTAGTGGGTGAAGTTCACACAGGTGTCCAAGCAGAGGAACCAGGTGTAGATCATCACATCAACTGTGAACATGTTCCAACATATCACAATCACAGAATGTCTCAATGCAACATATCTTCAAACCTAAAAAAGTGTCTGTGTATTATCATTCTTTAAAATATCACTTGCTTTGATATCATGTTATCTAATGTATTGACACTGCAACACGTGACACGAATCCATGCATTGAAAGTATTACAATTCTCAGTATACAATATGTTTTATTTTCTGGAGAGTGTAATGGAATAAGATTGTATGTTTCTTTTTCACAGAATCGACTGAAATTGAAAACAGCAGTCCAGATATAAATAAATATCGTAAGTTCTGTTAATTTTTCCACTAGTTGCACGAGAAAGTCTGTGAGCTCTTAAGTATTTTCTGTATTTCTGTATAAATTCAACCCATATCGAATTTGAATTTCATTCTATAACTAGACAAAGAGAATCCAATTAGACAAACATTACACAAATCTACAGGAAAAGGAGAGACGCGTAAACATCTGTGCTGCAGAAAGTATGTGAACCTCTAGGATTATCAGTTTATTTAAAGAGATAACTGCAGTCCGTGGTTTCAGGAAAGAAGATAAAACAGGTGAGAGTTGAACAGCTCTGCCCTACCGTAAGAGTTCAGCTCTCTGCATTGGCTAATGTTAGTGATGTTCATCAAATGTATGTGGCAGGATAGCAGTGAGGAAGCCACTGCACTCTTTGAAGAACATTCCTGCACATCTAAAATTTGCCACAAGACTACAGAAACAATGTTTCATACAAAACACCAAACACTGCATTCAGTAATAAGAAGCTCATCCAGCCGTAAAACGCTGTGCGGGCAGTATAATGGTCCGGCCTAGAGCTGGAGCAGGACACTTATAGATAGAACAATGATTTCTGCATCCTACAAGAGAATGTCAAGCGCCAGCCTGTAAAAACATCAAAGTGCACCATGTTTTTCTTTTTAGATTTTCTTTACCATGTTATAGTACTAGACAAACATCTGATCTCAATGTAGCTCAAAGTAAAAAAAAAAATCTCCAGGCTTCATAAACTGTACGGTCTGTAAAACATGAACGTGTGTGTTTAGTGACAGTGGCCGTTCTGCTGGCTTTGTGCATACTGGCGATGGTTTGTGTTGGCCTTCTGTCTGTGACGATCGGCTGGAAAAGCAGGAGAAGGAGAAGAAACATTAGAAAAGAAACAGGTGCATTTGACTTGGACTCCATCTTTTGGCCAATAAACACTAAACACACACACACACACACACACACACACACACACACACACACACACACACACACACAATAAAATACAAATAAATGATTGATTGATTGATTGGTTTTTTCCCCCAGAGCCGACAGACATTGCATCAGGTCTACAATTACAAAGGATGTCAAATGAAGGTAGGGGTGGAATAATGTTATTATAAATAACATTATAATTAAATGTTATATAAATGTTTCATTAATATCATGAGATCAGGGTATTAGTACACATGCACTGCATTGCATGCATTCAAGATTATTTCAACAGCATTATGCAGATATGGTTTCATCAAAGGTCATGTCACTCGGGTTATTTCATTTCAAACAGTGATCTTGTGTTGTTTATCAGGCCCCTGGATGTTGGACATTGATGAGGATGCAGTGAGTTTCTTTCTCCTCCAATCAACAGCCAAAGATGCTTGTAGTATTTGATCAATGAAAATGTTTACTTCAAAATGACAACAGTTTGATGTTTCTCTAAGAAATAATGGTATTATAATAATGATGTAAATATGGCTGGAGTAATTTAATGTGTGTGTGTGTGTGTGTGTGTGTGTGTGTGTGTGTGTGTGTGTGTGTGTGTGTGTGAATGTGTGTGTGTGTGTGAGTGTGTGTGTGTGTGTTCAGGGGGAAATCCAGTACGCGTCTCTGGGTGTGCAGCACTGGAGAGAGACAGACAGACAGCTGAGCAGCAGACAGCATGTCATTTACTCCACACTGATCACGTCATGAAAACAACACACTCATTTACACTGGATACATACAGTCAATATGAGAATACACTTAAAAACACCTCATATAGAACTGAAAGTCTTAGCTTTATGTGTCATCCTACAAACGCTAGCTTATATATAATGAAACAAATGAAAAATAAACCATAGAATATAGCAGGCATAATATAGTAATATAGCATATGTAATATACACTACCATTCATTATATATACACAACAAAGATACTATAAATTGGTGACATTAAATACTTTTATAATGTTACAAAAAAGTTTTCTATTTGAATAAATGCTGTTCTCTTGAAATTGTATGTAAAGAATCATGAAACAATAAATTATGATCCTGAAAATAAATTGTTTTAAAATATATTTGAAAAGAAAACAGTTATTTTAGATTGCAATAATATTTGACATTATTTACTGTATTTAAAGGGGTCATTGGATGCCCATTTTCCACAAGTTGAACTGTGTCTTCAGCGGCTCAGATGTCGGGACTAAATGACGACTGCTATGTTCATTATTACATCCAACAACAGAACACCTCAATCGCTTAATCGGAGACATTCTTGTCTTCCCCTGCACTGGAGTCGACACAATGGCGGACAGCTCTCAGCTCACTCAGGGCGGGGCTAAGGTAAGACGGACTTGTCAATCAACTATCGTGGGAGGGGCCTGTGCAGAACTACGTCACTCTGACAGGAATCTCAGAACAGCCTGATTTGAGAAAGGAGATTTTAAGAAATCCACTGGGTGTATTTTTATCCTTATAGGGTGGATGTGTACACACACTTCCAACACACATTTATGTTCAAACAACATGTAAAGTGAATTTTGCATCCGATGACCCTTTTAAACAAACTAAATGTAGACTTGGTGAACAAAATAGACTTCTTTCAAACACATTAAAAATCTTTCCAACCCCAAACGTTTGAATGGTAGTGTATAAATTTTTTTTTTTTTCTTTTTTTTCCCCCACAGACTTGGCATAAGTTCAGAGTATAGGTGTTGGTATAGTAGACTTCTTAAACTCTCTCTGTTAATATGAAGCTGATTAAATGCAGTGAAATCAGGACGTGTGGTTGGTTATAGCTGCGTATGTCACGTTGACTGGAGCAGGAGCCGCGGCTCTGGACCGCCTGAGGAACCAGAGACTGGCGTACTGTACTTGTGCTGCCTGGAAAACAACAGCATCTCCCTGCGTTAATGAATCAATATTAATGTCGCTCTCAGAGAACAAAAACAACGCAAACTACCGACTACACAGACAAACAGGAGAACAAAGGTTCCTTTCTTAGTTATGCCACTTCTTTGTGGTATTCTTATGCCTGTTTTTACATCGATCCTGCATCATATTCTGAGTTTGTAGTTTTCTTATGCCAATGTCTCACATTTTTTTGTGCTTATAGAATTTTAGTTATGCCATTCTTATGCTACTTTTTTGCATATATGCCATTTTTTTTTAAAGAATCCAAGTCCATCCCACCTTGACATTTGAGTTTTCTGTCACGCAGCTGATGCAAGAGACCCTGGAAGAACCTAAAAGAAAAACACATGTAAAACACTGTGGTGTAACCTGCATTTCAATCAGGTTTGATTTGGGGCTTCATGCTCTTTTAAAGGGGTCATGAACTGAGAGATTAAAATTTCTTTGATATTTTGACATATAAGAGGTTGCTGTTCTATAAAAACATCCTGCAAGTTTCAGAACTCAAAACTTTCTCATTAGTCTAAAAACAGCTTATATTGAAGGTAGTCTGTCAAAACAACAGCTTGTGGAATGTTCCACTCTATGATGTAATAGTGTGGATAAGCACCACCTCCGCAGAAGAAGAGCAACGCCTGCTTCTACATCGCTGTCTGTTTAGCCCCGCCCACATGTTATACACAGCTACCTGTTAGCCCCGCCCACCGATTCTACCTCACTGCCTGTGTAGCCCCGCCCACTGATTTTACATCGCAGCTTGTTTAGCCCCGCCCACCGATTCACGCACGTAGTGTAAATAATGAGAAATTAAGGCAAATGCGCAGGTCTATGCAGAAATCAAACAATAAAAATGCTCTGAAGATAACAAGATGCTGTGCAGTGCCAAGCTGTGGAAAAACAGTGTTTGCATCACCTTCCTTCTGATCCCAGTGTTAGAATTAACTTTATTTTTAATGAAGTTCCAGACCGCATCAGTAGGAACTCGGTCCTTTGTTCACTTCATTTTACCGCAGATTCGTTTACAAACAAGGCACAATTCGATGCGGGATTTTCAGAAAGATTGAATCTGATAGATGATGCTGTGCGACTATATTGGATCTGACAGTAATGTCGCAACACAAGTGTGAGTAACTGTTTTTATTACGTGATCACTATTGCTTTGTCTGTTAAACAGATCGTTTGATATGAGTACTTATGCGTTTTTGACCTAAATCACAGCAGCGTCCATCTGTGAGGAATGTAGGCTGTCAATCATACACAGCTATTAGCCAATCACAGCAGTGGCATTTACTTCAGAGTCTACAATCCTCCACGCCTGTTCAAACAGAGCGTTCTGATGAGGGGTCAAAAACAGGGCAGAAAAAAGACTATTACTTCTAAATTATGATGTTTTTTTATGTAAAAATCTTGATAGCATTATAAGTGGACCTCAAAGAACAGTGCAAAAAAAATCAAAACAAAAACAAAGGCAGTTCATCACCCATTTAAGAGCTGGGCTTCTCTGTTTCTCACCTTTCCTGTAACAGAGCACACACACGCAGAGAATACTGCAAAACCCACATACGACACAAGCACAGACCAAGAGCGTCCTGCAGCCCTCAGTCTCTGACGAGCGCTGCGGTTCAGCGTCTGAAACACAAAACCAAACCAGTCACCAAACAAACCAGTGGAAAGAGCAGCGGTTTCACTGGAACAGATGAGAGTCACAGAAAACAGAGGTTACAGCCAAACCATGAAGAAACTCAGCCTTCTCTATAAATAGGTCTTCTGTGGTTTCTCAGTTTTAGAAAGACCATGAAGAAAGGTTTATTGCATTAATAATCTAATGACTTGTCAAGAAATAAAGCATTCACAATTTAGCACTACATTCTGACAGTACTTTTTATTTTTTATAAATATGGCAATTTATTATGAAGTAGAATGGCTAAGTATTTCCCATTTAGCTGGAAGGCTTAATATGACGGCACTATTCTTACAGATTGCTGTGATGTTATGCACTATATCTGAACCATGCTGATGAAGTAAGAGGTTTGTTCTGGAGAAGTGATCCACTAAAACACAGAGCACCTTTACAGCTTCCTGCTCTGACATCACAGCTCTCTGTGGTTCTGCCGTTTTGAATTATAACATAACTAATATAATATAAAATCATGATGTTTTGGCCGATCTGAAGAGCACTAACCTGCAAATGTGAGTCTGACAGCAGTCCCAAAGCGCATCGTCTTTGCACTGACACCAAGAGCGCAGTAGTACAGCCCCAGATCCGACTCTCTGACCCCAGCGATCACCAGGCTGACCGAGTCAAGCCTCCTGTCTGCTTCCAGCCCAAAATGACTTCCATTCTCATTATAGTAAGTAACTAAATATTTTTTTTTAAGGTTTCCTCTTGCTGCAGATATGAGTAAAGTAATCTTCTCAGAGCTCAGTCGATACCATGCCATCTCAGAGCTGGAGTTCAGGAAGCAGGGCAGAGTAACATTCTGCTCCAGCTGGACGCTCATATTCACCGTGTCTGCGTGACACTGTGTGCTGATGCCTAGGAAAGACAACATGCAGAAGTACACCAATGCACAAGTTCTCTAAATCAGTTGTTATAACTAAGAAACCACACACACTATATATATATTAGTGCTGTAAAAACAATTAATCATGATTAATCGCATCCAAAATAAGTTTTTGTTTACATTATATATGCATGTGTACTGTGTATATATATTATGTATATAAATACACACACATTAGCTTAACACAGTACACGTAACAATGTTGTTGTTGTTTTTTTTTGTTAATTATATAATAAATAAAATGAAAACAAAGGGAATAGAAAAAGAACAGAGAAAGCTGTTAGATGCCTTTTTTTTAAAGAAAACAAATCGTTTTTTTTGTTAATTATTGGCCTATAATAAATAAAAAGAAAACAAATAGATAGAATAGAAAAAGAATAGACAAAGCTAGTGTTAAAGTTTTTTTTATTTTTTTAAGAAAACAAATAGAGTGCAAGTCTTAAAGGGTAGTGTTTTTTTTAATAAAAAAAAAGACAACAAATAGATTTAGAATAGAGAGTGTTAGAGGGTCAAATATAGATGGAAGAGATGTGTTTTTAGCCGTTTATATATTAATAGAGATCAATGTATGGATGTATACTCACTGACTAAAAGGATCACTTTGAAAATGCTCATGTTCCAGTCTCTTTGTCAGGTGCAGTTCATCTGCTCTGAGACGTGGGAGCAGGGGTCTTACTTATAAATGCTTAAGTTTGCTAACCCTCAACAGGTCAGGCTTTCAGTTATAAACCACAGTTTTGCACATTTCCACAGTTGTCATGCTGGTGTTTACTGAAAAGGGAAGAATCTGTTTGCTGTTGCATAGCACCACACTTAAGTTTCATTTTTGAGGAATAAGGAAACTCTAGAGCAGCTCGGTGTTCACACTTGCTTCCGTCAGCATGAGCACATGTGCTCCAGTCTCACAATGCACTACAACACATCAATAATGCAGATGTACGACAGACATCCCATGCTTTCTCACAATGTTTTTGTCATTTCTGCTTACTAGACATTTATATTTGGATTTTATCCAAAGCAACTGAGAATGCATCCAAGGTATGCAGAACATGTGCATGTATGTTCCCTGAGAAATGAACTCATGACTTTCATCTTTGATTCTATAATACAGAACACTACACTACAGAACACTACACTACAGAAGACTACACTACAGAACACTACACTACAGAACACTACACTACAGAAGACTACACTACATAAGTCTACACTACAGTACACTACACTACATAGACTACACTACAGAACACTACACTACACTACAGAAGACTACACTACAGAACATTACACTACAGAACACTACACTACA